CTCATAGTTCTAACTCAAAATGCAGATGGAGTTTCTTCAAGGTTTCCTAGAAAAAAAAGAAAGAATGAATGAAAGAAAGAAAAAGAAAGAAAGAAGAAAAGAAAAGAGAAAAGAAAAGAAAAGCCCCTGTGGACAAAGACCAAACACTAGAAAACCTCAACCCCCAAGGTCATTTTTCTCCAAAGTTATGGGCACTTGAATACAGATGAGAAGGAAAACAGTCGCAGGGCTGTGGCAGAGCAGTGAGGAAAATACCACGCTCAGGAGCTGATGGCTGGCCAGAGGAAACCCAGGGAGGGAGGGCAGGCAGCAGCCAGGACTTCGCTCCCCAGACAAGGACAGCAGGGCTGCCCTCTCCCTGGCCATCCGGAGAGCTGAGGTTATTTCCTTCTCCCCGTGTGCTGTGGCCTATACCTCACTGTCCTCACTTACATTTACTTTGTTCCTTTCTAAACACTGAGGTGGTAAGAACTTGCCCCCAGGTTAAAGATGGACAATTAAAGATCCCACCAAAGCTTTCAGGCTGCTCCCTGGGCCTGAGGGTCACAACCACCATTATTCGATGCACATCCACACCAAAATGAACAACTATGAACTCCTGCTAGCCAGGAGAAAGGAGTCAGGATTCTTCTAAACCAGATAAAAACCTACTTCCCTATCAGGAAACAATTCCTAAAGCAAGAAAGGAATTCTACTCCTCAAACTTGGAGTCTCTAAAGCAATTTAAACCACCTAAATTAACATTTAGGTGGAAAAATGTTTTCAAATGTAAAAGTTTCATATTCTGCCAATATCTATCATGTTAATCTAAATCAAAATGTAAATCAAAACGAGTGCAAAAACCTGCAAAAAAAAGTGAAGCCTATTACTGGTAAACCGACCACTCCAGCTTCACCTAGCTGAACAAAGTACAAAAATAAACAGCAAAAATGATGACAAATGGAAAATACCAGATGTTTTACCATGTTTATTACCAATATTGTTACTCACCCGAGTACAACAGAGCTTATACCTGTTAGTTTTCATGGTGCCATTTCTTAAGGACAGTCCCAATAAGCTGACTCGGAGACTTCTGAAGACCAAAGAAATCAGAAAAATGAACCCCATGCCAAGCCTCCAGATAGATCCTGGCCCCAAACTTGTTTCTGCCTCCTCACCCCCGAGGGATAATGGCACACTCCCATAAGGATTAGAAATGTCCTATGTAGAGGCCTTGAGTATTGAAAGCCACTGGGAGTCAGGAAGGAGGAAGGCTGATCCACAGTCCCAAGCTCATCCCAAAGAGGCACACAGACCTTGCCCATAAAGCATCTCTGTCAAGTGGACAGCTATTAAGCTATTCTGAGAGAGCACTAGGAAGGGCTGGATTCAGCTAGCAGCCCATCTTCTAGTCCTTTTCCAGTCTCTTCTAAAAGTTCATTCTCATCCCAAATCTCAATCTTGCCTGTTTCCATTTAAATTCATTTCTTTTTTTTATCCTTATTAAAATAAAGAGCGGGGCGCCTGGGTGGCTCAGTTGGTTGGGCATCTGCCTTCGGCTCAGGTCATGATCCTGGAGTCCCTGGATCGAGTCCCGCATCGGGCTCGGCTCAGCAGGGAGCCTGCTTCTCCCTCTGACCCTCCCCCCTCTCATGTGCTTGCTCTCTCTCATTCTCTCTCTCTCCAATAAATAAAATCTTTAAAATAAAATAAAATAAAATAAAATGAAGAGCAAGTTATTAGTATACTCTTTGGAACAACTACCTCCCATATGATGAATTTATTTAGTCTGAATAAGAAATAAGTCACTAAAACCATATTCAATTTCTCTTCTTTCTTTCTAAGTCCTATTTTTGTGCCCCTAGTGATTTTTTCCCCTCTTATCCTGAGATTTTCCAATTTCTCCACTGTCCCTGCTGACCAAAAGACCTACACAGCACAGAGGCTCTAATGACAACGTGACCTATGATAACCTCAGTGGAAGGATGCTATCTCCTATGTGGGACTGACAACTTCTCCAATCCATCTTCCAAAATTCCTCTGAATCCTATCAGGATCCTGCTACTTGCAAACTTTAGAGAAGTTTTTTTGTTTGTTTGTTTTTAAAGAGAGAGAGGCTTTAAGTTGCCACAAACAAGTCTCAAATCACTCCTGAGCTACCCATCCCTTTCCTGAGAATGATCCCATGGGCAGTACAACAGAGCTGCCTGGCCCCCAACTCACCTTCCTACCTGTTGATCACAGCATTGTGGAGGCTTAATGAAGTGGAGATGCATTACATTTATCACTTACCCCAGATCCACTCAAATCCATCACTATGTCACAGCAAGAAGTTAGATTGATCTGACAGGATTTGCTCTTCTTCACAAACCCATGTAAGTTATTACTCAGTAGTACCCTATGCTCTTCTAGCTGTTTGCTGATTGATTATCTGACGATCAGGTCAAGTATCTTCTCTGGAATCACAGTAAACTAACAGGTCTATAACTTCCAAGATCATTCGTATTCCCCTTTTAAAGATAAGCAAGACAGCGAATGCTTTTTCCTGAGTTCTCTAAAGCAACAGCTAATGCTTTCTAATAATGAACCAGGGCAGCCAATTCTTTAAGTGCCCTTGGAATCACATCATCAGGGTTCATTGATTCTGGAGATAATCTTTAATCAGGCCCAGATCCTGGTAAACGGCATGAAGTCCTACCTCAGCCTAGGTCAGGAAGGCCTTGGTGCCTAAGTCTGGGTGGGAAGTTGGTGATACAAGTTATTTAAATCTGTATTGTGGGGCACCTGGGTGGCTCAGATGGTTAAGCGTCTGCCTTTGGCTCAGGTCATGATCCCAGGGGCCTGGGATCGAGTCCCGCATCGGGTTCCCTGCTCAGCGGGGATCCTGTTTCCCCCTCTGCCTGCCACTCTCCCTGCTTGTGCTCTCTCACTCTAATAAATAAATAAAATCTTAAAAAAAAAACTGTATTGCATTATATCTTCAGCATTGCAATAAATAAATAAATAAAAAGAACAATGCCCTTGAAAGAGAGATGGAAGGTGATACTGACAGACCAAATTGAGACATGAACCAGGCTTCACCTTCAGCAACATTGACAGGACCCTCTGTAGGACAAGAGAACAGAGCTACATAATTATCTGAGCTTACAATCTAACTGAAAAGTTCAGAAATAAACATACGTAGGCATGTGCCAAAAAGCAGAATGTAGAAAATGCCATAAAGGAGGTGCCAAGTGATCATGAGAGTTCAGAAGAGGGATGAATCATATGCAATCGGAATGTGTTGGATTTTAGACTCATGTCCCACTAGGGCTTACTCAGTAATTGAAATCTACATCAGTAAGGGAAATAATATGGTGTGTTAAGATACGGATCCTTGATTCCTAACCTGGGAGAATCTATGTAACCAAAATTCCCACCCACCACCCAGGAACAGCCAGCACAGAATCTCCAATAGTTCTGGGAGGCAGAGAAGACTCTACAGCATGGGCAGGAGCAAGAGGCTGAGAAAGTAAGGGCGGCTCAGGCAGCAGCCAAGCTATATTCCCTTTTATGCGAAGTTCCTTCCCTCAGGACATTCTCCTCATCTTGCTCTTGTCTTCCCGAACTTCCACAGGGCTAATTCCAATGCTCCCAAGGACAGTCCACTACTTGAAGGGAGAACAGGAAAAAGGGGAGAAGGGGGAAGGTAAAAGGGTGGTGGTATCTGCTTTATGGAAAATAATCTACTATTCTAAAGATAGAATCTCTTCATGGGAAAAAAAACCAACCAAGAGAAATGAACTCAGTTTATGTTGGAATGGACCCCACTCCTCCCTGTCTCCCAAGCGCCTGATGCTACCATCCCCCTTTCCCCATCCTCCCTACCACTGAAAGCTGCTCCCAAACTAACATGTCTACACATCCCAAAATTACACCCCTAATAACCCAGGCCCACAGGGAAGAGTTACAGTCCTAGAGCCGGGCATACTCAAGGCCCCCACAGTACAATGAACTGCCACATCAGCCCCCAATCGTTCCCCCCAAACCAACCTCAAGCACGCCAATATCTCCAAGAACATGTGCCTCTCTGCTGCTAATCCAAACCTCCTAGTAGCACTACCTTAAAGGGTAAAAGGTCTCCGGACACAGTTGATGACTAAGGAAAAAAAGCAAGCAAAGAAATTTTCCTTTCCAACAGACCAACAGTTGTACTTCTTCAGGTTCTCTAATGCATCCCCAAACTTAGTGGCTCCAAACATCAATAATCACTTCTTATCTCTCACAGTTTCTGCCAGCCAGGAATTCAGGAGTGGCTCAGCAGACTAGCCTGGCTCAGGGTCTCTCCTGAGGTTGAAGTCAGATGTCCTCTGGGGCTGGCAGATTCACTTCCAAGACAGCACCAAGAAACATGAATGGCAAGTGGTACTGGTTTTTAGCGAAGAACCTCAGTTCCTGTATACACGTGCCTCTCCCCAGGCCATTTGAGAGTCCTCAATGCACGGCAGCTGGCTTTCTCCAGAGCAAGTGATCCAAAAGAGCAGGGCGAACCACAGCGCTTTTTATGACTTAGCCTCAGAAATCACACTATGGCTTTTCCTCTATGTTCTACTGGTTATACAAGGCTAGCCCTGATTCAGTGTGGGAGAGAAACTACCAAGGGTAGGAATCCCAGGAGGCAAGGATCATTGGGTGCCATCTTAGAGGCTGACTATCACAGTATTCCTTAAAATAACATGCGGTAATAGTAGGAGAAGGAAGGCGGGAAGGGAAAGGAGAGAGGAAGGATGGGACAGAAGGAAATATTTTGATTCCCAAAGGCTGAGACCAGAGAGAAACAATATGCCCAGTTGCAGAGACTTCTCAGGTCTACCTTACCCTACCATGCCTGAACCAAGTCCAGCTTCCTAGGCAGGGACTCCCGATGAGCAACTAAAAGCCAGGAAGACATGAGAAAGTTCCCCTGGAACCCAGAAAGCAAGACTAACCTCCCTCCCTCCTTGCCCACCCCACCTTTTCTGAAGCAATGATGCAACAGTTACCTGAGGATGAATCTGTGGCTTGTCGCACGTGGCCTCAAAGTCCAGCACTAAAAAGTAGTGATACCTCTGGGGAGGGAAGGGCACCATTGCCGCCATGGATGCGCCAAAGCCGTGGGCCGCCAGTTTTCTGGTGGATATGGAGCAGAACTCCGGAACACCACAGGGAGAAAATAAGTGGGAGCCCAGCACTTTTCTTGCTCTTGAAAGTAAATATGAAGAAAATCGAGCTGCTCCAGTCTGTAAAGGTGCTAGCATTGAACATCCAGAAGCATCTAAAACTTAGGGGAGGAAAGTTTAAAAAAAAAAAAAAGAAAAAGAAAAGAAAAAAAAAAAAAAAGAACAAAGAGCCTGGGTTACTCCCCTCCCACGGTGGCCCTGTTCCATCTGGTCTTCAGGAATAGTCACACAACACGAACCACTCCCCAGTGTTTCTGGACCCCTTTTCTAAATCAACAGTATTCATTCCTTAAGTTCAAGACCCTAATGCTGGCCCCTGCAGCATTACGACAGCTCTGAGTCTCCAAGATCATCCTCAGAACAACCTGCCACACTGGCCTTCATCTTTAAATGGAGCTCTGAAATTCAAAAGAGAGGAGAGAGAAAAATTCTGTGGTCATTTCTCGGGTGGCAAGAGTTAATGTAAAGCTAAGGTTCCTAAAGTAACATGAGGTGACCCAGCTGTACAATCAGTCCTGGGAGCTAAGGAGCATCAGACAAAACAGTGGAAAATGCCAAAGAGTCTCTCCTCAGCTCCATTACAAGCCATTTGCCCCTGGCTTTCCAGTTGGTATCGCGCACCTCCACGTAGCCTCCGTGCCATCTCCCAATGTGAAATGGAACGCAGCCAACCACAGGGGAGCTTGCTCCTGCAGGGCCGGTGATTCCCCAGCCTCCGTGCCAGTAAGTGGCACCCTGGGGGAATGAATGACGCCCGGAGAGCACAGCTGGTAACAGCCTCAGGCCTTCCTGTTCGCTGCCTTTAGGCTCACTCTCTACTAGAGGCCCTGAAGGACTGCAGGACTTTTTTTAAATAGGGAAGAAAAAGAGAAAACCCAGATGTGGCAGTAATGGGAGCATTGCTTAAAAAAAAAAAAAAGTCTAGTAAAGTTTTCTGAGTGAACATGTGGAAAAAAAAAAAATCCAAATCACTTTTCAAGTTTTCCCTTTAAATTTGTAGAATGTCTGCTCCTTAGAGGGTTAACTAAATATAAAAATCAAAGCCTAAGTTTTACTCACAAATAACCCAGGCCTCCTTAAAAAAAAAAAAAAGGAACAAAGAAAGTTTGTTTTTTCCCTTCTTACACCCAATATTCAAGTTCCCTCAACTTTAATCCTCAAAGTCAAATGAGAAATCTCACTGCTCAATGCAGATATGGCCATAGCTTATGCCTTCTGAAGCCCCATTCTAATAGAGCCAAAAACTTGCCTCTGAAAGGCTGCCAATGGACACTGGCTCCTTCCTGCAGGGCTGAGGGGGGTAGCAGCCTGTGAAGTCCAGAGCGCACTCAGAAGCAATGAGGTGACTACTACCTGAATGGACATGTACAATCAAGTATCACTTTTCCTTCTGGCTCTTCCCTGACTCACTGAATGACCTACAATAACTTGCCTGCATATTTACTAGGACACATGTGGGTCCTCAATTTCCCCAACCCCGTAGTGAGATTCCATGGGGATTCAGAGGTGCTAAGACTGAAAAGTATTTTAAGTTCTTCATGGATCCTACAGAGCACGGTGCTTGCTTTCACCATGGCTTTACAGCATTTCCAAAAACACAGCCCAAACTCCTCAGCTCAGGATAGACAAAGGCTGGCTTGGATTTCACTATGGAATCCCTTGGAAAGGCAAAGGGGCCAACATCCCTTCGAACACCAGAATCCAAAATAACTTCACATCACCACCCCTGCCTTGAACAGTACTGGAAGCCTTGCTGAGACCGGAGACACCAGTCTGTTCAGATTATGCATTATAGTTTGGATCCAAAGTCTCTCAGGGCCTTAGAACTCTCCTCTAACTCCTTGAAGTCAGGCTGGGATAAGGACTTTTGAGAATCCTAATGTTTGTCAATATTCATAGAGAGTGTATAGAGTATATATAGTCAACCAGACCCCATCTGCCAAATACTACCGGCAATTTAGCATCATGATTAAGGAGGCCTTCCAGGTTTGCATCCTGGCTGAGCCACTTATTTGCCTTGGCACCTTGGGCAAGCTCTGTTCTTCCATCCCTCACCTGTAAAATGACAACAATAATAGCTCTTATTCTGTAAGTGAGAATGAAATGAGAAGGTACATGTAAAGCACTATGAGCAGTGTCTGGCATATAGGGGCTCAATATCGCTTACTATTATTACTACTACTATTCTTTTGGGCTACGCCCACCTGGCCAAGCCTGGACCCCCATACTTGGAGCCTATATATCCAATTAATGCATGCATAAGGCAACCTCAGAAGTAACATCCAAATCTCCTGCATGCCCAGAATGCTCTAGGCCTCCCATGTAGCATACTATATGTGCGCTATCCCCTTCCATGAATGACACACTGATGACCTGAAGCCCTCTTGCCTGCAGGCCTTGCTTTTCCAACTGATTTCACCCACATCAACAAGCTTCTCTTGCAGGAAGTCTTGAGAATAGACAATGGTAGGAGACCAGTCTTCCACATGTCAGTAATCACTGGATTCCATACTTCCTTTACTTCTAAAACCCAAGTTCAACTCAAGTCAAGAAACAGAGGGCAGCTCTTCCTCTTCCCTTCGTGAAAAATTCAACCTTATGGCTTTAGTCATTAGTTGTGGCAGAGGAAGGTAGTACCTGCAAGTTGAAGTGGGGGGGAGCAGAAGAGTCTGAGGGTTGGGGTGGAGGGTATCAGAACCCAAGCACAGTAAGGAAGGCATCTGTACAAAGGCAACAAGGTGTAACGTAGCACGTCAGAACCCACGTGGGGTGTGGAGGGCATGGGGAGGCGGGGAGCAAGCCTGATGCAGGGAGTCATGGGCAGGGTAAAAGAGGCACTCAAAAGGGGGAAGGAGCAATGGTAACAAATGGGAGATTGGTTACATACAGAGGGATTGATCAAAGAAGGGCGTATATTAAGGGTAATGAGAACCAGGTTTCTCATTGTTACAGGATGGAATTAAAGTATGGGAAGAGGAAAAAAAAAATCCATGGTGTCAAACTGAAATTGGAGGAAACAGTGTGAACTCATGGTTTCTGATATATAATATATAAAAATAAGCTAGATGTATGGACACACACATAAACACACACACACACAATCTATTTTCTAGCTGTCTATTGAAGGGCCAGGGAGCAGCAACACTCTAGCAGCAATGAGCACACCTAACACCCAGTTGCCTTCTAAATAACAGTCTTCAGTGGAAAAACCAGAGCTCTTTGGAGAAATGGTTGATTCCACAACTATGGCAGGGAAAGTACAAGATGAGTCTAGAACATCTTGTTTAGGGGCCAGAAAGCAAGGAAATGCTCAAAGAATGATGGGAATTAATCAAAAGGATGCAGAAGCCAGTTTGAAGGAGCTCCCACTGGCAATAAATAATGATATTAATAGATTATATTGCATTGAATAAAAAAAGGAAACCATGAATCTAAAATACACAAATTAATTAACTAATTAATAAATTAAAGTTTGGTAAGGGATATTCACGTAGTTTTGAACTATCTCCCCACAGAATGCTTATTAATCGTTAACAGGAAGTAAATATACAATGGAGAAGCCTGGCAGACATCACCTTAATCAAGTGATCAAAATGAACACAATGGGATAAATCAAAATCATGCACCACATGATAGGATGCAATGAGAAGAAAGCATCATTTCTGTGATATTCCTGTCAAAGATGCATAATCTAACTCTAATCATGAGAAAATATCCAACAAACCCTAACTGAGGGAGAGCCTACATAATAACCAGCCTGTAATCTTCAGAAGTATCAAGGTCATGAATGTCAAGGAACTTTTACTGAGCAAAATCTAAAGGAGATCAAAGGGACTTGATAACTAAATGCAATGCACATTCTGAACTAGATCATTTTGCTACAAAAAAACATTACTGGGACAATAGGCAAACCTGAATGGGGTTTCAGAATTAGAAGGAGGTAAGGTACCAATATTAATTTCCTGGTTTTGCTGGTTGTACTATGGTTAGGTAAGAAAATGTCCTTGCATGTAGGAAATATACCCAAAGCATTCAGGGTGATGGGACATTAGGTCAGCATTAGCTCTCAAATAGTTCCACAAAAAATTCTTTGTACTATTAATTCCAACTTGTATGTAAATTTGGCCTATTCCAAACTTTTTAAAAATATTTTTTTAGGGGCATCTGGGTGGCTCAGTCAGTTAAGCGTCTGCCTTTGGCTTGGGTCATGATCCCAGGGTCCTGGGATCGAGCCCCACATTGGGCTCCCTGCTCAGCAGGGAGCCTGCTTCTCCCTCTCCCACTCCCCCTGCTTGTGTTCCCTCTCTCACTGTCTCTCTCTGTCAAATAAATAAATAAAATCTTTTTAAAAAATTATTTTTTTAATCTATATGCTGCAATGTGGTTTAAAAAAGGCGGGGAGGGAAGGAGAGAGAAGAAGAGATGGTATGTGAGAGCTCAATCTCTCCATACCGCCCACGGAAGGTAGGCTGTGCATACAGCCTACAGCCGACCTTAAGAGGCAAAGCCAGCCCTTAAAGCATCAAGTCTCCATGATAAGAGCCCCCACTCAATGCCCGCTCACGCTCACGGAGCACTCCTGCCACCATTAGAGCCTTCTCAGGAAAGAGCCCTGCACTCCCTGCAGAGGCATCCCACTTGCCTTGCACCCTCTGGCCTCTTGGGGATTCCCCTTTCCTAATGCTGCTTTATACTTTAGTCACAAGTTTGTAGATTCTAAGTCTATAACTTGTATCATCAATTGGGACTTCGAGTATCTAGTCAAGGGGCAGAACTCAAAAGGAACAGTTCATGATTCTATGTACTTCTGCATACTGTGTTTCATCAGAGACAAGACTTATACACATTTATTCTCAGGCCCCCTTTTTCTTCTCCTGGCAATTAAAGGTAGTAAGTAGCCTATGGCAAGGAGGAAAATAAATGATTCCCTCCTCAAAATGAAAGGTCCAGCCCCCAGTGGAGACAGCGGAGTGGTAAATAGGGACCGTCCTGGGGCCAGCCCCATTTGGAGAAACAGGCCTGCGCCACAGCCCCCGGAGGATGGTCTCTGTGCAGAGTATTTACACAACAGACACCAACGGTCCTCTGCAGCCAT